AGCGGCCAGCAGCCGCTGTGAGTGGCCGACCAGAAGCCGGCGACTTATCTGCCTCACCCGGGAAGAGCTCAATGATAGTGCCTGCTTGGGCCAGTGAAGCAACATCCTCCACAACTAGACTGAAGAACAAAACAATAGCAACTTGTCTGTTCTCCTTCCCCCGATTCCCCAATAAAATCTTTAAAAAAAAAAAACAAAAAACCTAGGATTTTCTCTCCTTAAACTCTCATCCAGATGTGCCCCTGAACCCACGGTGTGTGGAACAGAAAGAGTCTATGCAGGTCATGGAAAACAGTGCATTCTAGATTCCTCTAGTGCAGCGGTTCTCAACCTTCCTAATGACATGACCCCTTAATACAGTTCCTCATGTTGGGGTGACCCCCAACCATAAAATTATTTTCGTTGCTACTGTATAGCTGTAATTTTGCTACTGTTATGAATCATAATGTAAATATCTTTTTATTTTCCGATGGTCTTAGGCGACCCCTGTGAAAGGGTCATTTGACCCCCAAAGGGGTCAAGACCCACAGGTTGAGAACCGCTGCTCTAGTGGTAAGCTCACCAATATCTTAGCTGGGAACTAGGGCATAGAGTGTCCAGGGAAGTGGCTCCTGTACTGAGACACTGGTCTTACATCTTTAATTCCATTCTGCTGGACCTGCTTGGAGGTAGGTCGGACCACGATCTGTGGTCCCACCTCCAAGGATTCATCCACAGTTGCCTGTGTCTGGATGGGGAAGAAGATTCGGGACCTCAGGCATAGTCTTAGCTGTATAATGACGTGGCCCCAGCTTCCGGCTTGTCTGGTGTCTATGACCACTCCTTGCGATCTCAGAGAATGGTCACTGAGCCCATGGCAGATGGACTCTGCATGCCTGTGGACATGTCCGCTCTTGGAAGCTTTTGCAAAGTCTGTGTCACTGCACGTAGCCTGGAGAGTGGTACAGCAGCCGGCTGGTTCTCTTTACTTTTGCTAATTCAGGAAATACAAGACAGATCCTGGTTCCTACCCTGTCTGATGGTTGGTAAGTGGGAAACCTAGGCCCCACCTACGCAAGCACCCCAGTAGGTAAGGACACAATTTCCAATATTTAGTTCTTGCTAAAACAGCTCAAGGCAATCACTGTTATTACAACACAGGCTCTTGGATATATGTGAGCCCCTCACTCACCATGGCTCCACATTCAGCAGGCTGAAATCCCCCCTACAATTATTCATGGGAGGGAGTGAGTGCCATGGGCCATAGACAGCATGCATGTGGAGGGCAGGGAGGTCGTCCTTCTCTGAGAGGAGGGTGTCACCTACTACACTGCCCATTGGCTATCCTCAAACGGTTAGTAGCTGCAGGAATGCCATCTGCTCTCCAGGGAACTTTCTCTTTATTCTCTTTATGCCCCAAGATAATGGATCGAAGTTGAATAAGATGAGTGAGCTTTCAACTTCAATGTCATTGTCTTAAAAAACCAGCAGAGCCATGCTGCTGGTTGGAGTCTTGTCTATAAAGCCACTGTACCTGGAGACCCTAGAGGCCACCTGCTCCTGATAAACCTCAGTCCAAGGTGAGACATAAGATGTCCCGCAGAACCTGGTAAAGCTCCAGGGCCACACCTGTGTGTTCCCAGGGCCACTTTATGACCTGGCCAGACCCACGTGGTTCTCCTGTGCTAGTGTGCTGGGACCCTCTAGGAGGCTAGCTCACTTCATGGGCACAGCATTTGTACGTGTGAGAAACACATGCACCAGGCAGAGGGAAAGCACAGGGATTGGCCCTGAGGGAAGCTCATTAGCGGTATCTGGGTTTCCCCTCGGCCAGAGCTGCTACAGCTGATGGTCTAAGAAGGCCCACCTCATCCTTTGTGCAGGACTTTCTCTGCCCTGGGCACAGGTGCCCTGGATGTGCCCGATGTGTCCCGGCTCAGCTGTCTCCCCAACCACAACAGTTTCTAGCAAGAACTCTTGTGAGTAAAGCAGGCTCCACCCCTTCCCTGTACATCACCTCCGGACACTGGTCAGCAGGTGTTCATTGGCCTTGCTAGTGTTAACTTAAAAATAAAAAGGACTTTTAAAGTGACAAACAACAAACATTTATTGAAATCAATAAGAATAGCTACTGGGGAATCATTAATTGAGGCAGAAGCCCAAATAATGTTCCAATTAGAAGACAAAGGCAATGGGTACGTATGAGAAAGTGCAGGGGGAAAATTACATCAGTAAAAGACAGGCATTTCTATTGGTGCAGATAATATAACATAGTGACTTTAATTCTTAATGATGTTTTTAATTTTCAGTCCGGTAGTCATCAGTCCAATAGTCATAATAACTGCTTTCTTGTGATCTTTGCAAACAGTTCTTTGGGACACAAGGTTGCTTAGTCCCAGTCCAAAGGTTATTTTTCCCTGTTTTAACATTCCAAAGATTTGAGGTGTAAGATGTGCAAGGTAGTTCCTCTGGCATGGCAGCTCCAGTTCCATTTTAAAGTGGCTCCATTTATATTATTGTTTACTCTAGAAATATACTCAGGATGCCAAGTCCTCTGTGCATCCTTCTGTGTGTGTATCCCTCAGAGTCCCTCTGTGCAGGGACAACTTAACCAACCTCATCCCATGGTGGAGCCTCTTTACGACATCCCACCTCCTGCCTCACAACCACTGAGTGTTCATGAAGCTGCACTTTCCATCTCCACTGTTTCTGTTCTGTTCAGCGACTCAGAGGTCTCTGCCATGGGCCCTCCACTCCACAGAAGTGCCCACTTACAAGCAAAAAGAAGCGAAGGCTGCTTTCTAATGGGCTGCTTGTGTGTGCAGAGTGCAGGTGATCTGAACGAGCCTCCAGGGATGCGCCTTTTTTTTGCCACACGGCACCACCATGATTAGTAATGGATGCATGGAGGGACTGCAGAAATATTAGGAGTGGGAACTCTACAAAGTCTTCATTGTTCATTCAACTGCTGCTTCGCTAGTTCATCTCCACTCCTTGTGGTACCCAGCTGATTCCCTTGGGCTTGTGGGTAGGCCCTAGGTTGAGATAACTCCCAGGAAACTTCCCTCCCCCTTCCTGAGGGCAGGGCTGACCCCTGCAGCCTTATTTTATCCCCTATGGGGCAAGTCTGATGTGGAACTGCCTAGTCCTTGATCTGCCAGTGATGGCAGCAAGTACCAACAAGGACTCGCAAAACACCTGGGGATTCCACCAGGATCCCCAGAATATTAAACATGGAGAACCCTGTAAAAGGCCAACATTTTTCAGTCAAGCAGTCGGGCATGTAAGTCAGTAATAGCTGGGTGAAGCTAAGACACTTGGGTTCCAATCTCCAGCAGGTTGGAAACCCTAATGGTAGAGGAAGATGAAGATGACCTCCCCCCCACCCAGGGAGATGGGGGTGGGGGGGTGGGGGGGACATTGCCTGAAGGTGTCTGCATGAAACCTACAACTTCTTTGAAGTCTCATATTTTCTCTTAAAAATTCATTCTATGCCATCCATTTTTGAAACTTGTTTATATATATATATATATATATATATATATATATATATATATATATTTTTTTTTTTTTATATTTATTTAATTAGGACTAAAGGTGAAAAGAGAGCAATATAGAT